TCATCAGGAAGGGCAGGTAAGCACAGATACTGATATCAGGTGATGAACAGCAGGTAGATGGGTGTGTTAGTCACATGACTACTGTCATGTTGATATTGTCTGCATCATGAAGGTCATGAAGGGCTGATAAGATTAGCTTGTTTCTTATGCAAATACTTGGAATAAAAAAGCTAATTACTACAAAACAAGCTGGGGAGGAGGTTGTAAGACAATTATCAATAGCTACCTCTGAGAAACAGGTTCTGTCCTTGGCTAGTGATTAGAGGGTAAATTAAAGTGAACCGCTAGAAAAACATGACTAGGCAGTGTTAAAATTGCTGCTCATTGTGTATCTTGACTCCATCTTATGTCCTTTCATTCCTTATAATAGAATCCAATACAGTCAAAATAATTCAATAGATTTATACATTTTGATGTGGAAAGAACTCCAAGATATGGATTTCATTCTGTTGCTCAGGCTGGAGTGAGGTGAGCTTCTGGGTTCAAGCAATTCTCCGGCCCCAGCCTCCTGAAGAACTGGGACTACAGGTACAGGCCACCATGCCCAGCTAAAATGTTTTGTTTTGTTTTGGTAGAGATGGAATCTTCCTATGCTTCCTTGTTGTCCCAAACTCCTAGCCTTAAAGCTATGAGTCACCATACCTGACCTCCAAGATCAGCTTCTGACAGTAGTAATTGGATCATTTCTCTCTCTCACTCTCTTTTTTTTTTTTGGTTGGTTTTCCCAGCTAGAGGTTTATCAATTTTATTGTTCTTTTCAAAGAAATAGCTTTGGTTTTCATTGATTTTTCTATATTGGTTTCCTGCTGTTTTTGTTTTGATTTTTCTCTATTGATTTCCTTTTTTCAATTAACTGTTTTCTGCTCTTTTATTATTTTTTCTGTTGATTTTGAATTTAGTTTGCTCTTCATTTTCTCATTTGCTAAGGTGGATGCTTAGAATATTAATTTTAGATCTTTCTCCTTTTCTAATGTATGCATTCAGAGCTATTAATTTTCCTGTAAGTATTGCTTTTGCTGCATCCCACAAATTTTGGTGTTATATTTTCATTTTGTTAAAAATATTTTAAAATTTCTCTTCATCCTTCTTCTTTGACCCACTTGTTGTTTAGAAGTGTGTTGTTTAATCTCCAAACATTTTGAGAGTTTCCGTTATGTTATTGATTTGCAGTTTAACTCCATTGATATGAGAACATGCTTTGAGTGATTTCTATTCCTTTAAATTTGCTAAGGTGTGTTTTGTGACTCATAATGTGGCCTGTCTTGAATGCTCCATGTGAGCTTGGGAACAATGTGTACCCTGCTGTTGTTGGGTGACATATTCTATAAATGTCTATTATATGGACAGTACTTAGTACCATAAAATTCAGTGAGATCACTGAAAAGCAGTTCACTATCCCACCCCAGACCAATGGAATCATATGCTCTGGGAGTGGGCCACACGCACCAGTAATTTTGGAAGCTACCTTGGTGCTTCTAATGTGCTCCTTGAATTGAATAGCTCTGATGCAGAGAGCTAGCATCCACAGAAGAGACAAGATGTGGGCTAAAGACTGGGCACATCAGCATTTAGTATAGTGGCTCTTATCTTGGCTGACCATTGGAATTGCCAGGGAACTGACAAAAATTCTTTGCTTGGCCAAACTTTATTCAGGCTTCCAGGCCTTCTCCTAGGCCCATCTGTTCACTTATATGTAAAATCCAGTTTTAGCAACGAGCCCTGATAAGTCAGTTTACTAACAACCACCCCCCATCACCCTTGATATGTAAGCACCCTCAATATCATCCTCACTCCCCAGATGTCTAATTACCCTGGTTTATCTTTAGTAGGAATCCTGTTGGGTCAGTTTAGCCAGAATCCCCTTAGCCCTGGTGCTTCCTCTTAAGTCATTTTCCATCCACTCACCCTTACCCTACTCAATGACTAAATCCCCATATGCCAACACTGTATTCAGAGTTATGCCAATCTCCCTCTCTCCCTCCAAGTCTCTGGTTGCAGTGGTCCATTGCCTGTCATAATGGTCCTAAGTAACTAAAGTTTTCCTTACTAGGCTCTAACAAGTTATCATTGAATAGCTTTTTCTTTAGTGGAATCTTAAAAAAATATGATTTTGGGTCCCATCAGATTTTGATTTAATTGGTCTAGGGTATGCTCTGGGCCTCAGGAATTTTTTTTTTTTTTTGGACAAGGTCTTTCTCTGTTGCTCAGGCTGGAGTGCAGTGTTGCCATCATAGCTCACTGAAGCCTTGAACTCTTGGGCTCAAGTGATCCTTCCACCTCACTCTCCCAAGTTCCAAGCTGGAACCGCAGGCACATACCACCATACCCAGCTAAGCCTCAGGATTTTAAAAAGTTCTTCAGGTAATCCAGAAGGCAGCCAAAGTTGAGAATCACTGATTTACAGGTTCAGGAAAAGGAGAAAAACCCAACACAGAGGACCAAGCCAATGAAGTAAGGTCAGTGCCGAGAGAGTGGTGTTGTGAGTGCAAGTTGGGTGAGGAAAGGGTTAGAGGAAGGGAGCAATTAACAGTGTCAGATGCCAAAGACATCCTAAAACCAACTGATTTTGAAATGTTAAACCTAGGGGTATTGGAGATTGTTGGTGACTTTGACCAAAACAGTTCTGTGAAGTGGTGGCATTGAAGGTGAAACTGGTGAAGGTTCAAGAGAGAATGGAAAAAGGTAGATACATTTGTCAAACTAAGATTAATAGAAATTTTCATTAGTTTCATATTTCATCCTATTTATTCAACTATTTAGGTTGTTTCTAATTTTTCAGTATTATAATGTGGTTTTAAAATGACATTTGACCTTGTACATAAACAACAGATTGCTGAGTCTAGGGGTCATACTTTTTTTCACATTGTCAGTGTTGGTGGACACCTCTGACATCCTTCTTTTGCTAAGCTGGGCATTTACACATAAAAAATCCTCTGCTCATTTTATACAGCTAAGACTTCTTCTTCTTCCCATTTATAATTCTTAGATTGCTAGTAAGCCCAGACATCCTGTTTATTCGCCGTCCCTGTTTATCTAAAGATGGTCTGTTCCTGTTGTTATTGGAACATCTTTCTCCCCATCTCACCCTCCTAGGCTGAGTGGTCTCAGCGCCACTTCCTCAGAGCCCTCTTAGGAAGTCCCACCTGTTAACTCTTCTAGAATCCTATCATTCTTAGTGCTGTCACAGTGTGTAGCTACAGGACTATTTATGAGATGTTCTGGACCTCAGCCTCCTGCCCACCTTCCAGGAAACTCCATGGGCTATGAGCCTAGTGCTGCAACTTCAGGAGATGGGTATTTTCAATGTGTAGTTGCTACTGGAATTGGATCCTTGTTGCTCTGCTGCTATACTGGAAGAGTATTCATTGCTGTTTATTTAGCTGAATGGCTCCTTATTAAGCACTTACTTGTCCAGCAGCATCCAAGGGGCTGGTTCACCATCCCTAGGACACCTGCTTCTCCAGTACCTCTCGGACCAAGTCCCACCCTCTGGGGACACTAGGTACTGGACCCACAGAGAACTTAGCCAGCGGACACCTCCCCCGGTGGTTGGATTGTGGTAGTATCACTCACCACACATGGAAAAAAGAGCACTGAAGATTGTGCATCAGGATTGGTCAACACCCGACCCTTGGGCAGGAGACAGGGCTTTCATCCCCAAGGAACCCCTCTCTCTCCAGTCACTGGCCAGCGGCTGCTTTGCCTTGTTTTCTGCATGCACAGGCAGGACTTTTGCACATGCCAACAGCGGGGGGATCCAGCAACACTTTGGCCTTGGGATCTCTGTCAGAGCATGTGGGCCTAGTGTTCCATCGAGAATGTTGGCCAGTGTTTCAAAGAATAAGTGGATAACATTGTTGGAAGCCAGTTTTGTCTCTGGTTTTATAGGGTGCTGTTGGCTTGAAAAAGTCATTAAAAAGATACATTTTTCTGTGACCTTGCAGAGGTCCTTAAACTTTTAAAACAGGGGACCAGTTCACTGTCCCTCAGACCGTTGGAGGGGCGGACTATAGTTAAAAAAAAAAAACTATGAACAAATTCCTTTTTTTTTAAAACTATAGTCTGCCCCTCTAAATGTCTGAGGGACAGTGAACTGGCCCCCTGTTTTAAATGTGTGAGGACCCCTGTAATTTAAGGGTTGTACAGTCTTAGAGTCATATTAAAATTATGATTCAGGACTGAATTGCACCATAAAATTTTCTTCTTTCAGAATGTTTTGTACTCAAACAACAAACCTTAGAATTACATGCTTAAAAAACAAAAAAACAAAAAAGACCAATAGGCAGAAGGAAAGAAACACAACTATTATTTGTAGATGGTGTAATTGTAACACAATTCAACTGAGAAATTACCAAAAATAACAGTGAGGTGACTAGTTACACAAATATATAATTAAAAATAACTTTTCTATGTAAGAGCATAACCAACTAGAAAAATTTACAGGAAAAAGTGACAAAATTGTGTAGAACTTAAGTGAAGAAACTTAGCAAAATTTACTCAGGAATATATTACTACCTAATAAATGGAAATATATGTTTCTGGATGGAAAACAAAATCTGTAAAGTTAATTTTTCCCAAGTAGTTTATAGAATTAACCCAGTCCAATAAAAACAACAATGTATAACCCTAGGAAAACTAACCAAGCAAAACTGATCAAGCATCCCTAAATCACACCACAGGACCAATCCTGTGAAGGTACCACTGGCCTTTCTTCTAGGCAGAGAGGATAGGAGGGTCTGGATATCTGAAGGCCAAAGAAAATAATTATCAGCCAGGTGTGGATGCCAGCAATCCCAGCAATTTGGGAGGCCGAGGTGAAAGGATTGCCTGAACTCAGGGGTTCAAGACCAGCCTGAGCAACACAAGACCTAATCTCTACAATAAATAAAAAAAATCAGCTGGGCAAGGTGGTGCATGCCTGTGGTTCTAGCTACTTGGAAGGCTGAGGCAGAAGGAGCACCTGAGCCCAGCAGGTTGAGACTGTGGTGGCCATGAGCATGCCACTGCACTCCAGCCTGGGTGACAGAGACTGACTCAAAAAACCAAATGTATCTACTACAGCGAGGACACTTGGAAGCCTGTCTCTTGAGGGGCAATGTGGACTAACCACTAAAGACATCATTTCTAAATATAAAACACTTTGCCTTGTGAGGTAGTGATGAATATGTAGAGGGCACCTAAGCATATGGTAAAGTTACTGACTAGACATGAAACTCATGACAGTTTTTTTCTGGCTCTAGGTTTGTTCCTCCTCTCCAGTCTCTTGGGATTTCTTTCCTAACGTAAGATTGGAACTCAACAGAGGGACACGATTCTGAAGAGCTTTCCTAATATTGGAGCTGGATGGCCCAGCCTGAGCAATACATACTTCTTTTGGCAAGGGAGAGGCATAAGACTAGCTGCGGGAGAGATCAACAGCTGAACAAAATACAGTAAGAACAGTATTTTTAAATTATGGTGTGAAAAGGATTTCTATAAAACAGTCAATTTTACCACAAACTGCAAATGTTATAGAAACTGTTAGTTAAAATCACATACAAAGGAGAGTGTGTGACATTCAATTGCTGTAGTTTTCCAATATTCCAAAGTAAACAATTCCTTTCAATATTCAGGGCTTAAACAGGTGTTTTTAGAGGACTATGTGAATTGCTATTAAAAGCTGTTGGCTTAAATCAGTAGTTTGCAGAACAAAGTTCCAGATAAGGAGATTTGCATTATTTCTCAAGTATAAATTCCCATGTAGGGGAAAATGAATATACCTTCAAAAGACATTGAAGACTTTGCAAGTAAGCAGCCTCTGGATTCATATGCAAAGTCTTTGCCGGGAAAAGGATCTGTGATCTCTACACTGTCGTACAACTTCATAAAAGAAAGCTCCTTAGTCCAAAAAGCTTGGATGCTAACTGAGGTATAGTCCTTGGAAATGTTTCCTTCCCTATGAATTGTCTAACAATTTGAGGTTTTAGCCAAGATGGGTATTTATCCAACTTTGGCTATAATGAGGTTTTCATATATCTGTATCTTTTCAGGCAGCTTGGGAATTCAGAATCCCTTATGAAACTTTTCAGGCTGAGACAACGTCATCATACCTTTCCCAATATTATTTCTGCTTTCGGGTCTTACATGCTGAGTGGGTTTTCTCATGCCGAGTGCAGTTTGACAGCCGACCAAATCTTCTCCCACATTTTTTGCAACTATATGGCCTCTCAGCTTCATGACTCTGTAGATGAAGCAAAAATTCTTCGTTCTTTGGAAAGGTTTTCCCACATTCTGGACACTTAAATATCTTCTCTTTTATATGAATTCCTTCATGGCGACTCCGATGAGAATTTTGACGGAAGTTTTTCCCACACTGAGAACAGGAGTAGGGTTTCTCTCCTGTATGGATTCGCTCGTGTTTATTGAGATTTGTTTTATGATTGAAGCTTTTCCCACAATGACTACAGTCATAGGGCTTTTCTCCAGTGTGAGTCCTCTGGTGGGAAATAAGGTAAGAACTTTCATTAAACTGTTTCCCACACTGTGGACAGGTGTACCATCTCCTTGTTCTCCGATTTTGAGTAAGTCCAATAACACTGATGTCCACGTATTTTGAGAGGTCCTCTAGGGGATTATCATTTTCAATGGTAACCAACAGATTTCTCACTTGCTTTTTCTGTGGGATAGATATATTTAGTCTTACATCTTCCTTGCTATCTGGAGGTTGCTGAGAAACCAAGGAACAATCTATTTCATCACAATCTGAAGAGTTTTCCCTATAATCTTTACTCTCTACAGGTTCCTTTTGAAGATCTTCACCCTCGGGATTACTGTCATTGACTATGGAAACAAAAAGATAACTTATGAGGGATATGACAACACCAGGCAGGAAAAAGCAAGTCAGATTTCTCATAACACACTAACCTTAAAAGTCAATCTGAGAACTGGTGGATAACACCATCAATACTTTCCCATTCTTGCTGAGGGTGAAATATATGACTGGTAAATCTTTTCAATCCCCATAATGCAAGCACACAATGCTCTTTTTACTTTTCTTAGAAAATAAAATGAGTGGTATTGCACTGAAAGACTGCATATGTTTGTTTTCTCTGTAGGTACCAGTTACTCAGTAAGTTCATATTGACCTTATACTGTGTACAACAGCACGCAGCTGAGGACTAGGGATAAGGACATAAATCATCAAGGGCACCACTCAACATCTTTAGGGTTCTAGTAACTGAAGGGCAAAGTAAACTGCTTATAGGTTTTTCACTGTATGAAATAATCACAACACTATAGTATTAAATGATATTACAATATCTTATATAATGAAAAACGGAAAACAACTCAAATGAACAAAATTAGAGAAGACAGAGCATATTCACACAAAAGATTATTATTTGGTCATTAAAAAGATTACTACAACTGATCAAATGAAGCTATGGTACCAGAAGTCAGTAGTGTTTCTCTTTGGGGAGGAAGGGGAATAGTGCCTGGGCATGGAGCACAAGAGGGATTCCTGGGCTGCTAGAAATAGTCATTTTTGGGTAGTAGTCAGGTGAGTGTATACATTTTGTGAAAATTTCAGTTGTACACTTACAATTTGTAGGCTTTTTCTGTATTTGTTATACTTCAAAATAAGTCTGTATAAAAATAACAGATTACAAAAACTAGAAAACAAAGTTAAAAAAACTCATGCTGTGAACATATTTGTGTGACAAGGGAGCCCTCAACACTGGACAGCTGAGAGAGTAAAGGAAAGGGTTCAAATCAACCACTGTGACACGGGGCTGAACCTGAAACTGGAATGTGAATCTCTGCTGAATCTGGCATTCAGCAGATTCATTCCAACAGATTTTTTTCTTTTTAAGTTATTTTTTAAAATCACTCCCTTAGGATAATAAAAAAGCTGGTCAAAGCATATGCCAATTTTTATTACAGCTCTTGCTATCAACTGCAACAGTGCTTTCCAAAGAAGCTGTGCCAACTTTAGTACAGCCATTAACATGTATCAACTTTCCTAATTTTGTCAGCGTTATTTAAAATATTTATTTATTTATTTTTAAAATTGAGATCTCATTCTGCCACCCAGGCTGGAGTGCAGTTGTGTGATCACAGCTCACTGAAGCCTCAAATTCCTGGGTTCAAGCAATCCTCCCACCTCAGCCCCACACCTGTCTAAAAAAATTCTTTTGTTGATGGGATCTTACTATGTTGCCCAGGCTGGTCTCAAATGCCTAGCTTCAAGCAATCCTTCTGCCTCAGCCTCTCAAAGTGCTGGGATTATAGGCATGAGCCACAGCACCCAGTTATTGATGTTTTGTTTTGTTTTGTTTTAGTTGGAATCTCACTGTCACCCAGGCAGGAGTGCATTGGCATGCTCACAGCCACTGTTGCCTCGACCAGCTGGGCTCTGGCAATCCTTCCACCTCCGCCTTCCAAGTAGCCAGAACCACAGGCGAGCACCACCACTCCTGGCCAATTTTTCTTTTTTTAATTGTAGAGACAAGGTCTTGCCCAGTTGCCTGGGCAGCTCTCGAACCCGCAGGCTCAAGCAATCCTCTCACCTCTATCTCCCAAAGTGCTGGGATTACATGCATGAGTCACCATGCCCAGCAACGTAAATACTTTTTAACTGAAGTCTTCCTCTTTAACTCCAAACTTAAAACCAGAAGAAAAAAAAAAAGAATCTTTCAAGATCTGACAAAGTTTTGTTGTTTTCTGGCCATTCTTCTTGACTTATTTTTATAACACTAATATATTTGAAGTTTAATTCTATAATAGACTGAAATTAATTTTCCTCTAAATTATGATCCAGTTATCCCACCCCAGTTACAATAGTCTCATTTTCACTTATTTTGAAATGTTTACATTAACCTTATTCCCAGTTGGACTACATTTTGGCTATTTTTCATTAGTGCCACATTGTGTTAGCTGTTTTGTAATATGTCTGATATTGGTAAAACCAGTCAAAATACCCTTTTTTTTTTTTTTTGAGTTGGAGTCTCACTTTGTAGCCCAGACTGGAGTGCAGTGGCTGCTCCTGGCCACTGCAGCCTCGACCTGCTGGGCTCCGGCAATCCTTCTGCCTCCGCCTTCAAAGTAGCTGGAACTACAGGCGTGTGCTACCACACCCAGCTAATTTTTTTTATTTATTGTAGAGATGAGGTCTCGCCAAGTTGCCCAGGTGGGTCTCGAACCCGCGGGCTGAGACAATCCACTCACCTCAGACTCCCAAAGTGCAAGATTACAGGCTGAGCCACCGAGCCCAGCTTAATTTTTTTTTTTACTGCGACTGTATTTACAGTATAAATTTGGAGGGTACCAATATCTTTACAAGATTTTAGTTTTCCCATTGGAACTGTGTCTCTCCACTATTTAAGAATTTTCATTTACATTTGCCAGTAAATGTAAAAGATTTTTTACTCCTATATTTAAAGCCATTCTGAATGAAAACTTTCACTATTTTGTATTTGAGTGCTACTGTTATATATTTATTCTATATCTACTTACTTTAAACAATTACATACAATGTTTTAATGGATCCTTTTAGATTTTCTAAGTACAAATATTTTGGTTCCCTCTCTTTCCAACATTTATTCCTTTTCAACTTTTTCTTATTGCTTTAGAAAATCTAGTTCATGATATTACTAGTAATAGTGGGTTTCTTCATTTTGTTCTCATTTTTAAGAAATTACCACCAGGTGTGGTAGTTCATGCCTGTAATCCCAGCACTTTGGGAGGCAGAGGTGAGAAGACTGTCTGAGTCCAGGGGTTCAAGATCAGCCTGGGTAAATTGGTGAGACCTTATCTCCACAATAAATTAAAAAATTTGCTAGCCTTGGGGTGTATGCCTGTAGTCCCATCTACTTCGGAGGCTGAGGCAGAAGGAATATCTGAGCCAAGTGGGCTGAGGATGTGGTGGCTGTGAGGGTGCCACTGCACTCCATCGTGGGTGACAGAGTAAGACTCATACTAATTGAGAAAGAGAGAGAGAGAGAAATATCACTAGTGTTTTATAAATGCTAGCTTATATTAATTTCAAATAATCAAATGCCTATTTTAAAGGAATTTCACTGAAATTCATAGTTCTATTTCCTGAAAGTGTCAATGAATATATTTTGCATTCATTCAATGTACAAATTTTTAAAACTAAAAAATTTAATAGCCAATACATTTGTATGGCTCAAAAATCAAAACATGAAAAGGTATTCACTGAGAGTCCATTACTCCAATCCTTGTTCTCATCCGTTCTATTCTTTGTTTTAAATTTTTTACTTATTATGGTATAATTAGCACATAAAAAGGTATAAGATTTATATATTTACAATGTACAATGTAGTTTTGATATGCCTATACATTGTGAAATGTTTAAAGCAAGCTAGTTAACATGTCTATCACCTCACATACTTTTTTTTTGTGATGAGAACATCTAAGATCTACTCCCTTAGCAATTTTCAAACAAAGATTGAGTTCTTAAGGTTAGTAGCTAGGACAATGACCAACTTTTTCTTATAAGTCATCTCAGTTTTTTCATTAGTTTTTTATTCTTCCATTGTTTCTACAGGTGATACTTTTCTCTCTCTTCTTATACGAAAAATATGAAACTGCATATTTGCACTACTTGCCTTTTCCTAATCACTATATCTCAGTGCATAGCGATTATCATGGTGTGATGCATGGTCAAACCGTAGTCAACAAGTTCCTTACAGATAGATTAGATTGTTTCTAACCTCATGTTTTTACAAACAATACCACAATGACTAATCCTTATTTGTACATCATTTTGAATGTGTGCTGTTGCTATATCTGTAGGTCAGATTCCTGGAAGTGGAAATGCTGTATCAAAAGATAAATGTGTCTGCAATATGGGTAGCTAATCAGATTCACATACTTAGGGACATCAGCAATATACCTGTTTCCCAACAACCTCACCATTCATGTTTTAAATTTCTGATCTATATAAATCTGACAGATTAAAAAAAGTTAAGTTAGTAGAGGCAAAATCTGCATTTCTAATTATGAGTAGGGTTGGGCATCTTTTCACAAGTTTAAGGGTAATTGGACATCTTTTATCAGATTGTACATCTTTATCTTGCTGAATTAAGATGCCAACTTTGTCACATACTAAATTCCCATGTATGCTTCAGGATATTTCTGGATTTTTGTTTTTGAGACCAGACTGTCTAGTTCCGAGGGGGAAATCATACTGGCATTATTACATTAAAAGTACATTGAATTCATAAATCAACTAGGGGAGAAATGATCTTTTATCACATTCACAACCAGCAATTTTTTCACTTTCGTAATACTAAAAAGTGAGTATAAATTTAAAAAATCTTAAACTGGTTGCCACAAACTTCTGTCATCAAGCACAAGTGAAATGGTCTTTTCGAAACTGTCACTTTTTTCACAACACAGCTGAAGGTTGCAGACATATTCAAGCATTTGCCTCAGGCACCCCTCTGACTAGCATTCCATACTTTGTTGTTTTCTTATTTGGATTATAAACCTGAAAAGACAGTCTTCCACAATGAAGTATCGTGGATTCATCCAAGAAAAGTTCTTGTTCAGGTTTGTACAGAGTGCTAAACTTATTTAAAACCTTGGACTTGTCTGCATTTCTGTATTGCAAAAACTGCAAAATTTATAGGAATTTACTTCATGTCATTATTTTTAAAAAGAAATGTGTCACAAATTGACGGATGTGTTGACCAATAATCATGTATCGTGGTTTTCTTCACTTGTTCCATCAAAATATTTAGCGCTAGAAATTTTTTTCATCTTGGACACTGGAGTATTGCTCTACTTTTTTGATTTCTGTGGACATTTATATCTGCAGTGCATCCGATGATAATATCTGTTAGTTTCAGTTGCGATCATTTCTATAAAATCATCTCTAATAAATAGTCTGACAACTTCACTTATATTTTGAGGATTATTTGGAAATAGTTTTATACCTGGTTTACTAATAAACATTTCTAAGTTTCTTTTTGGATCACATTTTGTTCACTCAATGTCTGATTTATTTTCACCAATACTAGATTAACTGTCATAGATTATCTGCATTATATTTCTTCATTTACATTGTATCATTACATCACTATCTGTCTCACTATCACTAATAAGTTCACTGGATTCACCTTCAACCTCAAAAATCTCATCAGCATATATTTTGTTTTCCATAATTATGGTAAATTATTTTTAACATTGAAGTATTAAACCCCTGAAATATCAAAATTCAAGTATACATCATGTTGCAACAAAATAATGACTAACCTCCCATTTTTTACCAACTACATAAATCAATTAACAACACTGCAGGCTGGGCGCAGTGGCTCAAGCCTGTAATCCCAGCACTTTGGGAGGCTAAGGCAAGAGGATTGCCTGAGTCCAGAGGTTCAAGGCCAGCCTGGGCAACATGGTGAGACCTCATCTTACAATATATCAAAAAATTAGCCAGGAGTGGTAGTGCATCTGTAGTTCTGGCTACTTGGAAGGCTGAGGTGAAAGGATCGTCTGAGCCCAACAGGCTGACGCTAGGGTGGCCCTGAGTGTGCCACTGCACTCCAGCCTGAGTGACAGAGTGAGACTCTGACTCAAAAAAAAAAAATCTGGCTTCTTTCCCCTTTCTCTCCTTTCCTCTCTCACTATGTGATGCCTGTTTTCTTTCAGTGAAGCTTCCTAAAGCCCTCACCATCAGCCACTAGTGCCACGCTTCTTATACAGCCTGCAGAACTATGAGCCAAATGAACCTCTTTTCTTTATAAATTACCCAGTCTCAAGTATTCCTTTATAGCAATGCAAAATGGACTAAGAAGGAATTTTCATTTCATTTTCTGATTTCAGTATTAATTTTTTTTCAGTATTAATTTCTACGTGTATTGCACTGTATTTCTTTCTTGGGAATCTGAGTCATTGTTGCATAATAGTTAGTCAATTTTTATCAACCTTAAAAAAGATATAATCTCTTATCACAGCAGACCACAGATATAAGCTTTACTGAGAATCTGTTTAAGTGTTCTACATTTTTACTTACTTGGATTGAGAGACACATTCTCTGTTCTCTTATTTTAAGAACTCTCCTTAGACTCCTATCCCCATGATATTTAATCCTTTATACTTTTTCCTTTGCAAAAAACTGAATAAATTTTACTATTTCAACTATTACCTATAAGCTGATAATGCCCAACTACCCATATTGTTACATTTTGGTTCCAATCCCCAATTTCCAAATATCCAGAGAATAATCTCATTTTATTTCCTATCATGGATTCACTCTCATCAAATGGCCGGGTGTAGTGGCTCAATCCTGTAATCACACTACTTTGGAAGGCTAGGGTAAGAGGATTGCCTAAACTCAGGGGTTTGAGATCAGCCTGAGCAGCTTGGTGAGACCTCGTCTCTGCAATAAATCAAAAAATAAGCCGAGTGTGGTGGCTTGTGCCTGTAGTTCCACTTACTTGGAAGGCTGAGGAGGAAAGATTGCCTGAGTTCAGCAGGTAGAGGCTGCAGTGGTTGTGAGAATGCCACTGCACTCCAGCCTGGGCAACAGAATGAGACTCTGACTCAAAAAAAAAAAAAAATCAAATGCATATTCTTCCAAACTCAGCTCCTGGGTCCAGTTCCTGTCTTAACTTTGTGATAACAATTTATGCCTATAAAAAATTTCACAGTGCTTATCTTCTTATATGAACGACTTGTCATGGAAATCTGATGGTCATGAAAGGTATGAAAAGAGCATTATTTATCTTTGTAACCTGAATATCAATTCTAGAACCCAACCTTGCCTGAGGAAAAAACAAACAGCATTTATGAAATGTTGTTAAATGACCCTAAGCTTAAGTCATCAGCTTTAGGGTATGGGTGAAGGAAGTGGGGATTGAGGGTGAGGATTGGGTGTTAGGGCCCCAAAGTAAATGGCCAAAGTGTTCCTGGAGTTGGCAACATACTCACCAACCAGTTATCCAAAATAAATGGGAGTTTTGCCCAAGACTCAGAAAAAACTAAGCAAAATAAATCTACTCTTTTAATACATTTCTCTAAAATAAAGAAGACATTACACAGAACAACCTATGAAAAACTAACTAGGCTCATTATATACCACTACCCTGACCATACTATATAACACAGCTAAGAGTTCAACAGTCATAATGTATTTCTGTCACCTCAGGCAATTCCTAAAACCTACTTCTTGCTCAACTTCAGCCTCAGAAGCAAACAGTCCTGAAGGCAAAGTAAAAAGTATCAGGCACTCAGCATAGACAATTGTGAGGGAATCTGCCTCTAGGGTCGCAACACATTTCTAGACAAAGGGTGAAGCATCTCTAAGCAGATTATAGAGAGACTGCTACCAGATCAGTTCATTTATAGCACTAGGGACCTTTGTCAACCATTATTGGCAAATGAGTACAAAGAAGGTTCCATTCACCAACCATATAGAGAATTCACTGACTAAATGATGAGAAACGCATCTAGGAGGCAATACAGCTCTGGGCCATGACTGGAAATTCTGATGTTAGATTCCCTGGGTCCAAATTCCTGCTTACAGCTGTGTAGCCTTCAGTAAATTTCTTCACCCTTCTCTGCCTCAGTTCTGTCACTTGTGAAGTAGTAGTAATTTCCATACCCTCCAGTACTATTGTGAAAAGTATATGAGATAATAAACGCATGGAAAGTACTTGAACCTAGCATATGATGGCACACAAGTGCTCACTAAGTATTAGGCATTATTTTCCTCAGTAGTGGGAAATATTTTCACTTATACTAGTAGGCTTCACATCTACTGAACATCAAAAAAAAGGAGTGGAGACTTAAAACTCTAATTCCAAATATACCTGTTGTGAGAATAGGATCCATAAAATGGATCCAGAAGTCCACCCACGTTTTCTATGCTTGCAGGTCTTGCTTACCTCTCTCCTTGCTGCCCCCAAGATACAGGGGAAATGGCCAACCATAGCTGGAGTTCTATGGCTAAGTTATGCCATGTGGGATAAAACAAAAATGACCGGGCTCGGTGGCTCAGCCTGTAATCCCGCGCTTTGGGAGGCTGAGGTGAGTGGATTGCCTGAGCCCATGGGTTAGAGACCCGCCTAGGCAACTTGGCGAGACCTCATCTCTACAATAAATAAAAAATTAGCCGGGCATGGTAGCATGCGCCTGTAGTTCCAGCTATTTGGAAGGCAGAGGCAGAAAGATCACCGGAGCCCAGCAGGTCAAGGCTGCAGTGGCCGGGAGCGTGCCAGTGCACTCCAGTCTGGGCAGCAGAGTGAGACTCCAACTCAAAACAAACTAACAAACGAAAAAACAACCAACCAAAAAAACCAAAAATGAAATAAAATCTGTGTGCATATGTGCTTAGCAGGTGTAAATAGTGCCTGAAAAGCTCAAGAGATGAAGAACATGTTTTTCCTACAACCTGAACACACAAAGGATTTGACTTCTTACCCAGTAACATCATCTCCCCAACATCACTGTCATCCTTCTTCTCTGAGGTGGGTTGTTGAGCAGGATCCAGACTCACACATTCTTCTTGGGAGTGAAATACATTCAAATCCTCAAAGACCATCATCTCCTGAAAGATCAAGAGACCTCTTTTGTCTAACTGAGGTTCCTTGACAGCCCCTGCTGGTAAGAAAGGCTAACACCAAAAAGGTCAAGGGAAAGGATGGTAAAAGGGATCTATAAATCCCACACAAACTCAGCACAGACAGAACAGACAGCCAAGAGGAGCCAGAGAAAAAACAGAAGAAAAACACCCAAGGAGGCCAACTCCTAAGAATGTGTTTTTATACGTGGGTTGGCCAAGCAGGGAAGGTGATGCACTTGAAGAACGAATAGGAAAACAAACCCACCTCAGGGCCAGCTTTCAAACGCAGAGACACCGTCTCCTGTTTCTCCTGGACTCCTTCTCTGGGCAGAAGTTTCACTAAGGGACGAGGATTCACTGGAGACAGAGGAAGCTGTTGTTAGTGAAAAACTCAGTGACTCTAATACAGAGACTACCCACTTGAGGGCAGGCTGTCTTCGCTCCTTTGGCAGGCAACTCATGGCCCTTTCTGCTCCCATGAGCCTTGACAGTTCAAACCATAAACTCCAGGGTCTTGAATCTACATGGGTTTTCCTCATTATGAAAAGGACTCCCCTAAGCACCTTTTAAAATTTTCTACAGAGTGCTACTAAAGTGGAGCTTAGGGGAAAGCAAATGTGAAAATGTCCAGAGCAAGTATGTTTCTAAAATTCCCCATAAACTAATGTCAATTTGATAATTCATCAGATTTCTTTATCCCAAAAAGGTATTTCCCCCAGAATGTTTGGATAAAACTGGCACTACAGAAATATGCACTGTTTATTCTGTGCCTTTACACATACGCAACATATCACTCTAGTTCTAGCTTAAGAAGTACATCAACATATTTCAACTGACTCCTTTTTCAACACACTCCATTCTAACTTGAATTTACTAGTAACATGGCAGCCTATCTCAGCCCCCAGGACCACCCCTTCCTCCTCTAGTGAAACAAGCACGTGCTTCTCACCTCTGTTTTGAAGGCTTGAGCTCACATCTTTCATAATAACCAAGGTCTCCTTGACTTTCTGATTGGGCTGGACCAAGCTTGGCTTGGGAAAGAAGGTGAGGAAGTGCTCCAGCACCAGCTGATGGATGGTCTTGGGCCCACCGGTGGCATCTCGAAGTAGATCTTGGCCCAACTTGGAGTCTTGTGGCACTCTCAATATAAAGGATTGTTTTGGCTTTGGGGTAATGGGAACCACTTTTGCAGCCATCGTGCCTTGTAACCACAAACCACACTCGTTTCTGGGGGCCTCTTACCGATGGAAATCTGCTAGATAGCCCAGCTGTAGATAGAGAAATCAGGGATCACACAGACCTGGAAGGGTATGACTGTACTCCAACATGTTGCTTGGGTAGTAAGGCTATACATGAGAACAAATCAGAAAGGAAACACAGCTAGGGGAGGGAGATCATAACCGAAATGGAAAGCAACCGAACAGAATAAATACACTTACAAAGGTCTGAAAGGAACACCCTGAGAATGAAAAACCACACTGTCCAGACCTCAAGGACCAAACGATAAGGAGCAAAGGCGGCCGGTAGAAGGCCAAGGGCCAGCCTCCTGGGAAATACGAAGTGCAAAATGCACCAGGCAGAGCAGTTTAATTTAAGTTTTTAGAACATGCAATGAGCTAGCAGGCAGGAAATCTGGGTCCAATGTCGAAACATCTGCTCAGAAGCAGGTTGGACACTAATCTAGCCACACTGCGCCCCTTGGAGCAAAGCTCCCTCTAGTGCCCTTCGGGGAAAGGGAGACAGTTGATGACTCCTCAAATGCAAACGTAACGCCGCACGAGGCGCCCCTACGTAGCCTGCTAGCTCCTTCCTCTGCGCCGTCAATGCCCTGATGAGAGCGGCAGGAGACATCCCACTAGGGCCCACTGGGCTGGGTCTGCTCTGCCAAGGGAAGCCCAACCGGCGGCCCTGCCAGGGGAGCACGCACCAGGCTCCCTGCCCAGTCTCGCTCTCCCAGCAACGGACCACGCTCCGCTTCCCACAGGCCGCCTCGGCGTGGTTCCCGCCCTCGTGAAGTTCCTCACCTCTCAGGGCCTCTGACACCCCCGAGCGGTCTCTGGGGACGGCTCGGTCACCCAGGCTCCGGAAGAGATCAGAAAACTAGGCGCGAGAGGTCGAACCGTCCCCTCGCTCTCTGGAGTGTCCTCAGAGGACGCCAGCGACTATCTGGACGCGCCGCCGCTAGTTGGGGAGGACAGCAGGGACGCGGTGTCTTCTGGGAGGCCGAGCGCTTCTGAGACTGTGACGTCACAGCCGGTGCCTTGTTTCCGGCGCGGAAGCCTGGTCTCCCCGCTCGGAGCGAGTGTTCTGCGCTTGACAAGGCGAGGCTGGAGGCCGGCCGGCGAAGATCCCAGGTGTGGAGGGTGGCTAGACCGGCAGCAGCCGCTCTCTCTGTACCTCTGCCTGGGAGACGGAAAGCAGGAGGCTGGCTCCAGTCCTCTCTGACGGGCTGGCACCACGCCTGGTGAGGCCAGTCCAACTCCGAGTCCTGGGAAATGTAGTTCGGCTCCAAAAAGCCAATGGAAGACCGTCAGGGCAGAAGTTGGGGCGGGGCCCGGCCGAGGCTTGAACGGAAGCGGGTTTGTCTCACCGACCGGAAGGTGTGCGCGAGGCCGCCGCGGTTTCCGCTGTAGCTTCCGGGCGGGCCGAGAGACTGCTGGTACCGCTAAGGTGTGGCTGGTGTAGGACTCCGCCCTGTTTTGGGGACTCTGAACGGTTCCTTCATGCTGAGTTTTCCGTAGGTCAGAGCTAGGGGTTGTTCTGCCGCCTCAGCTTGTCGACTTCTACATTGCTCTCTGGACTGGACGTCTTTTCTAAGAAATTGTAGTTGTTTTTCTCGGACAGTCCCCGTTTCCTTTCCCAATTTCAGCTTCCCGTGGAGACTCAACTGCATCTTGTCTTTCTACGTGTTTTTGGTTTTGTTTTTTTTTTTTTAACTCAGTCCATTCCCCAGTGAGACACTGATCAGGGCTGGGACAACCTATGGGCAGATTGCCTTATTCCTCTGTGTAACACCAGCCTCCAGCAGAATGACTTTTTTCTACAAAAGTAAAAATATAAATGAATCCTTTATCTTTAATTATAGCTGATTCACTTAACCATGGTTTAAAAATATGTTATAAAGAAACAAGTATGAAAACTCCGTGGCACCTAGAAATTGTTGAAAAATAAGGAATCTCTGCCTTTCCAGGCATCAAATTTTACTGAAAAGTCTCCTTTAATCAAAGCTACACGGTTTGTACTATGAGACAAAACAGGAAACTGGGATGCCTTGAAGTAAAATATAAACCTGTGTGATTATATTTTTTAAAGCTTTAGAAACACTATTAACAAAGGCAAACAAGTAATAGACTGGAAAATAACGATAAATGATAAGCCACACAAAGAATTACACATTCCTAACACAAAACGAGCTCCTGCCAACTGACAAGGCAAAGGGAAAGGCTATGAGCAGCAGTTCCACAGAGGAAAACTAAATGGTCATTAACATTCAAAAAGATGGCTTAACCACGCTACTAGTCAAGATTACCACTTTATTTATTTATTTATTTATTTATTTATTTATTTATTTATTTATTTATTTATTTTTGAGTTGGAATCTCACTCTGTCGCCCAGATTGGAGTGCAGTGGCCGCTCCCGGCCACCGCAGCCTCGACCTGCTGGGCTCTGGCGATCCTTCTGCCTTAGCCTTCCGAGTAGCTGGAACTGCAGGTGCGCGCTACCACACCCGGCTAATTTTTGACTTGTTGTAGAGATGAGGGCTCACCAAGTTGCCCAGGCGGGTCTCGAACCCGCGAGCTCAGGCAATCCACTCACCTCAGCCTCCCAAGGCGTGGGATTACAGGCTGAGCCACCAAGCCCGGCTAAGATTACCACTTTAAAAGGGTACATTTTTCTCCCATCAGACAATGAAGAAGGTGGAGAAATAGGCATTCCCTTTGCTAGTAGTGTGATGTGCAAAGTCATCTTGTAATATATATTAAAAATGCACATATGGCCGGGCTCGGTGGCTCAGCCTGTAATCCCACGCTTTGGGAAGCCAAGGTGAGTGAATTGCCTGAGCCCGCGGGTTCGAGACCCGCCTGGGCAACTTGGCGAGACCTTATCTCTACAATAAATCAAAAAAATTAGCTGGGTGTGGTAGAGTACACCTGTAGTTCCAACTACTTGGAAGGCTGAGGTGGAAGGATCACGGGAGCCCAGCAGGTCGAAGCTGTGGTGGCCGGGAGCATGTCACTGCACTCCAGTCTGGGAGGCAGAGTGAGACTCCAACTCAAAAAAAAAAAATTACACATACGTATCCTTGGACCTTCACAATCTTATCTGTGAATCTAGTCTCTAGAAATTCTTGTACAATTCTTATGTGGTGACAAAAACTGGAAACAACATGCATGTTCACCAGTAAGGAAATAATTGAATAAATTGGTGCATTCATATTCTGGAAATTACACAGCTATGAAGAACGGGTTAGCTCTATATGTACACCTGGAGCAATAGCCATAAAATATTAAATGAAAAACGCAATTTCAGAGTTATAATATAATGTGTAATTATATTTTTGGCACAAACAAAATCCTCTGTGTATGTACAATGAATACACAGTAGATTATTAAAATGGTTACTCATGACTGGGGAGTAGAAATAGAGGCGAGTAAAGGGAAAGATTAAACATTTTTGGACTGTATCACTCTAATAAGTATCAATTTGTAACTAAAAATAATAAAACCTTAAAATGAAAAAAGAATTCTTTTATTTGATGACATCCTATTTTAGAAATTGATCAGTAAAATAGCCATAAATGAATTTGAAATAATATCAGACCTCAATTTAAAGGCATAAACAGACAATATACATAGATATACAAATGCCTTTTAACATGATAGTAATTGGATATACAATTAAAAAAATAAAATTTAAATTATAACTACAAAAGTAATACTCAGTGTTCTGAAAGCAAATTAATACAATTGTTTAATATGTCACTTTATATTTTAAAAGGTAAAAAGCTCATAAACATTGTAACACGTTCAATTCTCAGAGCTATGTATGTATTCATTTATTTTGAGTTGGAGTCTCACTCTGCTGTCCAACTAAGGTACAGTAGCGAGATCATGGCTCACCAAAGCTTCAACCTCCTGGGTTCAGGCAGTCCTTCTGCCTCAGCTTTCTGCATAGTTGTGACTCCAGGCACACGCCACCATACACAGCTAATTTTTTTGATTTTTTTTTTTTTTTTTTGTAGAGAGGAGGTCTTACTATGTTGCCTTGGCTAACCCCAAACTCCTGGACTCAAGTGATCCTCCCACCTCACCCTCCCAAAGTGCTGGGATTATAGGAATGAGCCACCAGACCTGCCCTCAGAACTTATTTTAAAAACAACTACAAGCTGGGCTCGGTGGCTCAGCCTGTAATCCCGCGCCTTTGGGAGGCTGAGGTGAGTGGATTGCCTGAGCCCGCAGGTTCGAGACCCGCCTGGGCAGCGAGACCTCATTTCTATAATAAATCAAAAAATCAGCTGGGTGTGGTAGCGCATGCCTGTAATTCCGGCTACTCGGAAGGCTGAGGTGGAAGGATCGCCGGAGCCCAGCAGGCGAGGCTGCGGTGGCCGGGAGCGGCCACTGCACTCCAGTCTGGGCGACCGAGTGAGACTCCAACTCAAAAAAATAAAAATAAAAATAATTTTTAAAAAAACTACAAAAATACAAATCAATAAAGTAAAGGAAGAAACTCCGGGGAAAAAGCTCCAAAATAAAATAAAGACACAGATAGTACAGTTTTGTCTGAAATATCAAAAATTGGTTAAATCATGATATGTTTATACAATGGAACCCAATGCAACCATTAAAAAGAGATAAGTGAAAAGGCAAGCTACAAAACAGTTTAGAAAATATGATGTTATTTAAAAATAAGATATTCATTTTTTTCTTTAACTGGAGGAATATACAAGAATTTATAGTGGTGATCTCTCAGGAGTGAGATTAGAGGGTATTTTTCACTTTTTATGTTTTATAAACTCATAAGTTTCTAAATAATGAATGTTACTTTTGTAATTGAAAAAAAACCCCAAATATTTGAAGGGTAAATTAGAATTTGGTATCGAATCATCTAGAAGTAAAGTGAAGAAAGAAAATCCTATTTAAAAGATGTTAGCCAGCACAGTGGCTCATGCCTATAATCCCACACTTTGGTAGGCTGAGGGGAGAGGATTGTCTAAGTCCAGGAGTTCGAGACTTGCCCGGGCAACTTGATGAGACCCCATCTCTATATAAAAAAAAAAAAATTAGATGTGATGGCATGTGCCTGTGGTTCCAGCTACTTGGAAGGCTGAGGCGGAAGGATCACCTAAACCCAGCAGGTCGAGACTGCAGTGACCATGAACATGCCACTGCACTCTAGCCTGGATGACAGAGTGAGATTCTGATGAAAAAAAAATGCATTAAATGCAAATTAAAACGACAATAAAATACCATTTCATGCACACTAGCATGGCAATAATTTTAAAAAGACAATAACAAGTTTTTTGTTTGTTTTGTTTTTTGAATCAGAGTCTTACTCTGTCGTCCAGGCTAGAGTGCAGTGGCAGGCTCACGGCCACCCCAGTGTTGATCTGCCAGGCTCCAGGGATCCTTTCACCTCAGCCTTCCAAGTAGCCGAAACTACAGGCACGTGCTACCATGCACAGCTAACTTTTTTTATTTATTGTAGAGATGAGGTTTTGCCAAGTTGCCCAGTCTGGTCTCAAACCTGCAGACTCAGGTAATCCACTCGCCTCGGCCTCCCAAAGCACTGGGATTACAGGCTGAGCCACCAAACCTGGCCAACAAGTATTATTGATAATGTGGAGAAAATGGAACCCTCATACATTACTGGTGAGAATGTAAATTGGTCCACCCACTTTGGAAAACAGTTTGGTAGTTCCTCAACATAATTACCATATAAACAAGCAGTTCCATCCTAAGTACAAACTCAAGAGAAATGGAAATATATGTTCACACAAAAACTTATACACAAATAGCAGCATTATTCCCAGTAGCCTAAAAGTGGAAACAACCCAAATGCCCATCAACTGACAAGCAGACAAACAAGAGGTGATATATACACATATTCAT